CGAGAGCCCGGACGGGCTGCGCGCGCGCGTGTCTCCCTCGCCGTGCCAGTGTCGGTTCTTTAACCCCCCCGCCCGGTATAGCAGAAGATGCGGGTTCGAATCCCGCCCGTGGTCCGACTTTTGCCCACAACTCAGCATTCTTGTGGTAATGTGAGCACTTATATATCAAAGAGTGATCTTTCTATTAGTTCCAATACATCAAAGAGTGGTCTTTCTATTAGTACCACTCGCTTGATTCCTGCTTCTTCTTCTTCTGCAATATGGACAAGAATGTTATCCGCTACCATCGCCACCGACCCCTCCAAATGCTTCTGATAGTGCAGCGCACTTCCAAAAAAGTTCTAGCCGTTCCTCATGCAATAGAGCTGGATGGCTCTCCCCTTGCAGTGGTGTAGCACAGACATTGCTCCTTCTAACTGCGAGTTGCCTCCCGTAATCAATCATTACTGGACGAGAAATTACGAGAAAACCTCGAAAAGTCTGAGTTCAAGCCAAGATTGAGATGATGTCCAACTTTGTATCGCGCCCCTGCATTGTGAAGCGATGGCATCCATGAGGTGCTCAAAAACAGGCAAGGACCCCGCAGTAGCATTGCTGTACAATTTTGATCTTACACGCCTCTCTATAAAAAGAAGCCCAATTTGAAAAAAAGTGACAGAACTTTCCCGCCAACCTAATATTAGACTTCACGCGCTGTAGGAGTGCACAACCCTGAAAAAAGGCTCGGAACATGCCAAAAGAGAAACTCTTCAGTGTTTCCCAAGAGACTTTTTCTCTTGAATGCATATGAGCACTTTGTTTCCTATAGTGAAGTGCGCCTGAAAAAGCTATTCCAAAAAATGGAGTTGGTCGATTAAAGGCAGCGCCCGCGTTCATTTGATGTTCCTACGCCCTCCTTAGATATCGTAGCTTTGTCGACAAGGGTGGAGGATGTACTAATTTCGCAGCTCAAAAATACGAGATGGCGCCACCCGCTTGTGAAGAGGATGCTCGCCCGCCCACTTGGCTGCCGTCTGCTTTAGATTAGACTTTAAAGGCTGAGCCCGCTTCAGAGAATAGTCAGTTATGGAGTGGAAAATGCCCCATATAGAACCCTATGCTGGCCAGGTGGGCGGGGCGCCGACTCTTCACTAGCGAACGGCGCTATCCTCTCGCCTTTTTGAGATGCAAAACTAGTACATACTGCATCCTCATAGGGAGGGCTATGATATCCAGAGAGGGCGCGGGAACATCAAATGAACGTGGGCGCTGCCTTTAAGGTCGAGATAGAAAGATAAATGAAAGTTATAAAGAATGATGCTATGTGGCATGCGGTTACCACGTTGACATTGGTTTTCTTTTCAAATTCGGAAGAAACAGGTCTGAAGAGCGCATTAAAAAAAGTGGAACGGAAAAACCACCCAGACACACCTGGTGCTCCCTTTGTTTGTCCCGTTTCGTCCACCCCACTTATCCCATTGCCATCGGGATATGCTGTTTTCCCGATTGAATGCTTGATCGAGATATATGCCAACTATTTCAAGCAAGGTGCCCAGCCAGCACTGTCGGACGTCTTTCAGGCTACTTTCAGGGCACTGCAAGCCCCTAGAAGGGACCACGGCAGCTATGGGTTATAGCCACAACTGTCACGCATCCAAGCGCGCGGTCGGGTATCAATCCCGTATCGGCTGCCCAGACCAACCAAGACCTCTGCCCTCCGGGGACGGTAGGTACCAGATTCGTCTGGGAGGATAAAGACGTTGACTTGCACATTGGCTGGCCCATGCAAATCATTGTATAGGCCACATCGCACTTAATGAGTCACTACGATCCTCAGTGGAAGAAAAATGTGTGCCGCGTCCCAAACATGGATCGACAAGGTGGAACCTTTACCAGATCCTTGACCCCTTAATTTTGTAGCTAATAGAAGGCGAAAAGCCCCCTTTGATGGTACGGCCATGTATTTCGCGCAAAGGCTGGCAACATCTGTGAACTGCTGTCCAGCTCGAAGTGCTTCATAGGATGCATCAAACAACGCACTCTCGTCATGCTGCACAAGAACTTCAGAAGAGCTGGAGTTCATCTCGACTAGGCATTGAATCGCTAGTAGTAGCGTCATCGTACAGAACGGCGGACTCCTCCAATGAGTGGGATTATGCTAAAGAAGTCACTGAAACACATAATCGCGATGCGGGAGTGTTTTCATATTTATTTAATATACACTGTATGAGTGTGCCAAGAACAAACCAATACTCAACGATAAAAGCCGAGATGATGTAGGCCAGGTTCATAGGGAGCAAAGAGTTAATAATGAAATAGGGTCCTTACCCGTGGCTTGTGTCAAAATGTAGCAGTGCATGCAAGCAAGACTTCTCAAGACTTGAGCAACCATCCACACCAGTTGGCTATGGCGCCCTCGTTCCAGCGGAAGTCATA